GGAATTACAGAATCACGGATGGCTCAAAAAAGGAACATTTAGTAACTTCGAAAGTATTGGAGACTGAATCTGGGACTGCAGTCACACTTCGTGACTTATATTTCGAAAATAAATTAATTTGGGTACACAGGAAGAAACCATATGAAGTGACGTTGTTGGAAACTCATAGTAAGTATATATATAGTACAATGAGTTCTTGTCATAATGATGTATTCAGGACATTTTGCCGTGAGTGAGAACTATGTGTAGTTAAGCAATTGTGTTGGGTATTCATTCTGTCAGGGAGCATAAACTTTTTCTTAAAAAAAATAATGTAGTGTTTTACTGTAACTTTCTTTGTATGATTGCCTAAATTAAATCAAAAATAGTAGCATTAAGTTTTGACACATTAACTGTATTATGACTACTGTCAGTTTGTAGCTACACCCAAACACCCTCACCCCTAGATCTATAATGTAACTATTTAGCTGTATCATAGTTTTTTATAACTAATGGTACTTTTCATTTAAGGGCAAAAAGTACCCATAGTCATGTCTAAAAAATAATCATGTGTAAGCAAGCAATTTTGTTTATGTTTTGGTGAGGCCAATGCACCGACAGTGTCTCGTCTTGCTATACATGGAATCCTTAACTGTACATGTATATGAATATATGCAAATGTGAATGTATTCATTTCACAATATTAGGAGTCAAACCAACAAAGAGGCGTATTCTCGAACATGATGAATCTGATGATGAAATTCCTTCACCACCAATTAAACGTAAATTTAACTTTTGCTATTTGAAATTAAGCAATATATACAATATCATTTTTGGGATTTTACGTATTAATTAGAATCAAAAGATAATGACGATGTGGAAAATGAAGCAGAAGATGACATTGAAGATGTGGTAACAATTAACTGATTGTGAAAGCATTCTCACTATAATTACAATTCTATAGGATAAAGATTATGCCTGTTTTGATGATGGAAGTTGTGAAACACCTAAAGGACAAACTAAAGTATTTTAATACATTAATTTTCAATTTTAAATGTTGATTTTTGATAGCCACTGTCAACTCAAGTCACTCAGTCTACTACACAAACAGCACCATCATATTCACCAATGGTTAGCAATACCATTGAATTGGTCATTTTTGAAGGAAAAAATTTGGCAAATTGGATGTTTCAATACCAATAAATTCACCAAAATAAAATGTGCTACTTTGCTCAATGGCAAATGGCCAAATTAAAACCTGTCAATCACTAAATTTAGCAATTTGCCAAAACCCCTCCAATAATAATTACCTATGTGGTTAATACTTTTTTTACTTTATTATTTTATTTAATTTTAGAGCAATGGCTTTATGGTCCCATTTTCATCATCAAATACACCTATGTCTACACCTAAGTCTATTAATGGTACACCCAAGTCTGTTTGTACATCTAAGTCAAGTTCTTCAAAGGATGAACAAGATATCAAAGTATCATTAGTCTACGTTATTTGGTAATTTAAAATTACAATTAGGACCATTTGGATAGAATAGAGAGCAAGTTGGATAAATTATTGAAACATATTAACACTTCGACTGTACGTTATAGATATCTGTTGAAAGATTTTTAATGTTTATTATCTAGAAAAAAAAGAATCCTGCTGATGATGATACTAGCACAACAGAGACAGTTGACAGCAAATTCATAACAGTATGTGTTGTTGTGTGGTGATGTAATCATTAATCACTCCATTATTTCAATTTATTTAGGAAAGTGGAGTTAATGTACTGACTTTGCGTGCAGAGACTCCATGGAAATATGCTTTGTCTTTGATGGACATTTTCTTCAGTGAATCTGAGATGGCTAAGTCATGTTATACGCCTTCAA